AGAGATTTAGCATTGTCCAGATGACTGTACACAGAGTTCAGTGCAAAAGAGATCGCGTCTTCAACGCTCCTGTTTTCTTTGTACGCAAACTGGAGTGGGTCGGTACCGGAGGGGATCTGGCTCTTAATGAAGTCCAATACAAGCCGCTCAAAGGTCTTCATTAGAACAGATGTGAGGGCATCTGGACGATAGTCATTAAGGCCTGTCACTGGAGTTTTCTTTGGAACTGGGATGATGGTGGACTTTTTAAAGCAGGCCGGCACTGTGCAGTTCCTCAGTGACAAATTGAACATTTCTGTTAGCACAGGGGCGAGTTGTTCTGCACACAGCTTCATAACGCGAGGAGGGATACCATCTGGGCCTGCAGCTTTCGGGTTGGGGTTTTGGACAGGACCCGCTGCACTTCCCCCTGCATCACTGTAAAGGCTGCTTGGTCTATACAGTCAAGGAAGATGTCAGGTGATCAGCGGCTTCAAAGGGAAAGTAAAAGTTATTGAGCTCATTAGGCAGAGCTTTGTTAGCGATGACAGTTCTGCCTGTGCTCCGCTTCCAGGATGTGATCAAGGTCAAGGTCAAGTTTATTTATACAGCACATTTTAAAAACAGACAGGGCTGTCACAAAGTGCTTACCAGACATTGTAAAAATACAACACATAAATAACATTCAGCAAAAAAATAAAATGCAGGACACTATCATAAATGTTGCAACATTGCTTGTGTTAAAAAGCCAAAGCAAAGAAATGTGTCTTTAGCTGCGATTTAAAACTCTCCACAGAGGAGGCAGCTCTGATGGAATAAGGGAGAGCGTTCCAGAGTTTAGGCCCTGCCACAGCAAAGGCTCGGTCTCCTCTGGTTTTTAATCTAGACCTGGGACAGTGCAGAAGAAGCTGGTCAGAGTACCTCAGTGCTCTTCCCGGAGTGTGCAAAGTAAGCAAGTCAGTCAGATATGACGGAGCCAGGTCATGCAGAGATTTAAATACTAACAATAACATTTTAAACTTAATTCTAAAAGCGACAGGAAGCCAATGAAGAGACGACAGCACAGGAGTGATGTGCTCGTGTCGTCTGGTGCCAGTCAGCAGCCGAGCTGCTGCATTCTGTACCAGCTGCAGTCTGTGGACTGAGGACTGGTCAAGGCCATAGTATAAAGAGTTACAATAGTCCAGCCGTGTGGATATGAGGGCGTGGACAACCTTCTCAAGGTCATTTGGTGGAAGATAGCCTTTAACTTTGGTCAACAGTCTCAGCTGGAAGAAGCTGGCTTTGACAACTGTAGTAAGTAGTAGTAAGAAGTAGTAGTAATGTTTATTTATATACCGCCTTTCACAGACAAGGGTCACAAAGCGGTTTACAATTGTTATTATTTTTTTGGGGCATTTGTCCTCTCAATCCACACAGAGATGGGAGCGGGGTCGCCGAACAGGAGGCGCATGCACAGTCCTATTGTACATATTTTTAGTGGTAGGGGAAACCGGAGTACCCGGAGGAAACCTACGCAGACAAGGGGAGAACATGCAAACTCCACTCAGAAAGGCCCTGGTCCGACCGGGATTCGAACCCAGGACCTTCTTGCTGAGAGGTGAGAGTGCTATCCACTCAGCCACCGTGCCGCCCAGAACTGAACTTATTTGTTTGTCCATTTTAAAAGCACCATCAAAATACACACCAAGGTTTTTTGCAAGTGGGCGGCAGTAGGAAGACAGGCTAGATACACCGTTGAAAACAATGATGGTCTGTGATGGCTTCCACATTTGCCTGGAATCGTTCTCTATGAAGTGTCCTTCTAGCCGCTCTCCATAGGACCGCTTAGCGTGTTTAATCGAGCGTTCTAAAGCATATCTGTATAGCTTGTAAGCCACTGCATCGCCAGATTGTAAAGCTTATGCACGCTCACGGATTCTACTTTTTACTTCCGAAGTCATCCATAGCTTTTGACTGCAATGCTCTTTTATTATTTTTCGTGGGACACAGCATCAATACAAAAGTCAATATATCCCATAACAGCATCACAGTATTCGTCCACATTTTCCGAGTGGAAAACAGACCAGTCCGTGGCGTCAAAACAGCCATGCAGCTTTAAGTTTGCGTCATCTGACCAACGCTGAACAGAACGAAAGGATGGTTTCTGTAGCTTGCTCTTCTGTATATATGGTGGCAGAAGCAGCACAGAAGAGTGGTCAGACCTCCCGAACGCTGGTCTGAGGTAAGACCTAAAGGCCCCTTTAAGATTACTACAGCAGTGATCCAGAATGCGAGCGCCCCTTGTAGGCATAGACACAAAGTTAGGGAGCACTGATTTTAAGTTACATTTGTTGAAGTCACCCGCTGCAATTATGGCTGCTTTGGGATAAGCACTCTCGCATTTATGCAAAATGTCACTCAAGTCATTTAGCGCTTCAGCGTAGTCCGCTTGGGACAGCGCACAGAAACACAGCTGTCAGTTCCCAAGGCAGAAAGAAAGGGCAACATTTTAGCACAATACATTCTAGGTTAGCTGAACAAAAACTGTTAACCACGACATAGTCTGTGCTCCAGCACTGGTTGAGCAGGATACATACCCCACCTCCTCTGTTTTTTCCCGTGGACTTCTTATTCCTGTCCATACGGAAAACAGAGGAGTCTGGTGGCAGAAACGCAGAGTCCTGGACACCGCTGTGGAGCCAATTCTCCGTCAGACAGAACGCATGTTCGCTAAGTATATGGACGGCAGCGGGGGCCTGGAGGTACGGCTCCAAACCAGCAGACCAGCTAGCTTTCCTCGGAGGCGACGCTTCCTCTTTCGGCCCCAGGCTGCCTGGACTCCGCGGTGCAAGTGGTGGAGATGCCCACCCCACTCGCTCTGATCCCGGCTAGAGCCGTAGCACTGCCCGCCAATCCGGGTAGGACAATCACCTAAGTCCTTGCATCGGAGTTCGGGCAGAACTTCGCCACAAACTCTGGGCGGCACGGTGACTGAGTGGATAGCACTCTCGCCTCTCAGCAAGAAGGTCCTGGGTTCGAATCCCGGTCGGACCAGGGCCTTTCTGAGTGGAGTTTGCATGTTCTCCCCGTGTCTGCGTAGGTTTCCTCCGGGTACTCCGGTTTCCCCTACCACTAAAAATATGTCCAATAGTTCTAGCATGCGCCTCCTGTACTGGCCCCTCCCATCTCTGTGTGGAGTGAAGGACAAATGCCCAAAATTAACAACTGTAAACCGCTTTGAGACTCAGATCTGCAGTGAAAAGGCGGTATATAAATAAAAACTTACTTACTTACTTACTTACTGTCTCGAATACTCAAAAGAGTCTCACGGTCGTACACCACTGTATCCATCGACAGACAGCAAAAGACAGGGTGTAACCCAGAGCTCGATCTACGCAGCCATACACCGGCGCCATCCAATAACTATTCAGACAGATGACTGGAATTTTTGTAATTAATACAAAAATAAAGTCAGGTAATGCAGCTTTAAGACAGGCACTATTATCAAAAGAAGTGTGTTTAAAGAGCCAAGCCGGGGTTGCATCTAAAGTGCAAGTTTAGGCTTTAGAAGATGCGACCACAGAGATCTTGGTGAGGCACACTGAAGAGTCCAAGTGGGAAATCAAGTGCAACGCTTCAGCCTACGAGTGGTTTCCTCCAGTTTGTCACGGATGGATGTAATTTATCATTAAAGAAGTGAAGAAAATTGACACTGCTCAGTGAACTTGGTATTTTAGGTGCGATTGCACTAATCTACTGTTGTTTTTATTCGCTTCTATTAAAGTTGAATAGTATTGAGTTTGAGCCCTGCGAAGAGCAGTCTTGTAGTTTCGGAAACCTGCTTTCCACTCCCTGAGGGCAGGCTCCGAGTGGGAGTGGCCGAGTGGGAGTGTACCCAATGCCATATACACGTACAGGACACACAATAAAAACAGCGCTGCAAGAAACAGTCCGTCTCCCCCATGTCTTCTCCCGAAGGGAAAAAAAGACGCTAAATAAAAGCTGGGGTACATAAATTTTCCTTTGCACTACCATTTAATGTTGTTTTTGCCCAAAAATGAAATGTTGTGAGCAAATCAAACAGACTTAATGACAGCCAATGGCTGACATGCATTTCAAACTTTTTTTATATGTCCCTCATCCCTGTAACAAATAATTTGTTTGTAGAGGCACAATAATGAAGAGGATCCGCAGCCTTTATGAAACAGAGAAGAAGAAAGAGGAGGCTTTAGCAGATGCGGAATATGTCGAGCTGAAAAAATAGTGTCTACTACAGAAAGACAGAATTTTAATAATGTTAATGCCATTTTATGTTGATTTTTTGTTATAATAAACAAATACAGTCCATAATCAGATCTTCTGCAGATGTGTCCTATAATGTTCAATTCATGTTTTTGTGCATTAAAACATTATTTTTGTAATGAAAACGTTAAAAAATAATTCTCAAAACCTCCGTGCATGTGTATTATAATGTATATGTGTCATGTATTTTCTGATTAACATTTAAATGTGTTGATTGATTGTTACGGAAACGTAGTTGTAGACCAATCAGAAAGGAAGGGGGAGGGAGCTTGCGTCGTTTTTTTTCAAATCAAGTACCTCTCTCTCTCTTTTTCTGACAAACTCCAGACAATCACTTTAACATGTACAACATCCATGTTTGTTTCAATGTGTAAATGTAATGGGTCTTGTTTTTGGGGTTTTGGGTACAAAAAACCCCCAAAAAGGTTAAGAAAAATAATGTGTCTATCATTGTGTAACTTCAATTTTAATAAAATGTTTTTAAAAAAGCAAACTTGAGTCTGTTCTCTTTTTTGTGACACAAAGTAATCCAGAAATAATGTAACTTAGTTACTTTGTTGGGGCAGCAACAAAGTAATGTAACTAATCACATTTTCAAACTTACCCAACACTGGTACCTATCAGTGTGCCGCTGATCATGCGGTCGCTGAACATGTGTGGGACCCAAATATATATTACGTTTGACACCTAGTGTTTTCAAAGATAATTTAAATCTAATGTTGAAACTGTATTTTCAGGAATGCTGCTCCAGACGGTGGTGTTCTTCATCTGCTTCATCTTCTTTATTTTCCTTGTCATCATCCCGGTGTTTTATGGGAGGAATCTTTTCGTCTTTGAAGTGGTCGCTGAGTCCTGGTCAGTCCTTGCCTAGACCATAGTACAAATTACATTTCGTACTAAGGTCTGGAAGCGGTCCGTTTATAGATAGGAGGGGTTAACTCCATTCACAGATTGAAACGATTGGATCTGAGTTTACCATGACGTATGTAGTGTGCCCGAGTCTGTCGTTAGCATTTAGCCTAGCCATCTCCTTTGCAGCTAACGGAGCCCGTGGGGAGTAGCGCCACAATTGTTTCTAGCGATTACAATTGCCAAACATTCCCATTGCTCCGGCTTCAATGTCTTGATAGAACCAGAACCGGATTACTTTACTATCGCATTTTTTGCCATTACCAGACTACGACCTTCCCGTTCGACGCAAAGTCTTGACGTCACCCACAACTAAATACAACACTCTCCTTCCACGCGAAGGTCGGTCGAAATTCAACCGATTGTAATCGCTAACCCAGGGACCAGACCCAGACGTTACATGCAGTGAAATGATGATTGAGCGGAGTGTAAGGATGGCTAAGGCCAGGCTAGGTCAGTCCTGGATTAGATTAGAAATTTGATATAAAATATGTGATTGGTGCTCTGACCACGGATCGGAGCTAGTGGGTCAAGAGTGAGCAGAGTTTGTTGCACAATAGTGTCGATGGATTTCAAAAGAAAAACATAAAAATCCCCACAAAATCTGAACTTTGTGAAGGCAGCGCCAGTCATCTGAGGATGAGCTGATTTAATCAGCAGTGAAGTCAATTTCCTATACATTGTTTACTTTTGAATGCGTTGGAAACGGCAGCAAGTCCTAAGCAGCTCAGAAACCCTAACCCTTCAATTGTTATTTTTCTTGCTATTTCTACTTGAGATGTTGCTGCAGTTCAGTGTTCATGGTTTTACACTGGTCCAGACCGGATTCATGGTCCGAATCAAGCGGATCAGGCAAAAATCCACTAGAGGAAGGCTAACTTTTTGAAAAATGCTAATTAAGCATAGAGCAGAGAAAATGGTCCAAACCAAGCGGCTACTCCACCTTGTGACCTGTCCTGCTACATCCAGCGGATGTTCGACCTCTACTGCTGTGACCTGAAGGGCTGTTGCTTATTATTACTATTATTAGCTTTTAGAATGATACATTTTATTTTGTTTTTGCTGCTACAGGACACCTGAATTTCTCCTATGGGGAATCAATAACGTATCTATCTATCTATATATCTATACAGCCCATGTGCCACGCTGCAGGGCTGTCACAACATGGTTTCCGACCAAAATGCTATCATCATCTTATGCTGTGTTCAGACCAAACGTGTTTTGGGTGTCAAAATCGCGTCGTTGGACGCTTGTGACAGATTCTGGCAGACGCTGTCACAGAGCGTTCCGGAGGCGCGTCACGTGCGTCCAGAACACTAGAGGACAGCGTATTTGAGGCGCCTCAAACGCTAGAGGGAAGAGAACGTTTTGGGGCGGGGCTTCTCGGTTGCCAACACAACTCAGAGCGGAGAGGAAGGACACAGCGGCCAAGATGGAAGGTAAAAAGTTTAAATTACGCTTTAGTTAGGACCTAAAAGTTAACTCTAATAACATTTGAGGCGAGAAATACCCCCCCATATTGTCATATCAGAGGTCTGTTTGGTGATAAAATAGATCATTGTCGGACTGTTCTTCCGGTGCCGACAGCGGGGGGTTGGGCAGTGCTCAAGCCGAGAAAGAGCGCCTAAACGCGGGGACACATTGTAAACATTAGTGGAGCTCTCACAATCTTAATTCTGAAAACCCAAAAACGAGGCTTTTGTTACAGACTTTCTCTGTTATAATAATTGTATTGGCAGTATTCATTCGTTTTTACAAAGTGATATTTTATGTAAACAATGCACATATATGTGATAAATGATATATGATTGATATATTTCTTATGGCCCTCGTTCGTGCATCAATTATCACTTAATTTGTATCAGGCATAAATGTAATAATGTGTGTTTGCTGATGAGAGAGGAATATTCATAGATCTATAATAATAACTGGAACATCCATGGATCTATAATAATAACTGGAACATCCATGATCTATAATAATAACTGGAACATCCATGATCTATAATAATAACTGGAACATCCATGATCTATAATAATAACTGGAACATCCTTGATCTATAATAATAACTGGAACATCCATGGATCTATAATAATAACTGGAACATCCATGGATCTATAATAATAACTGGAACATCCATGATCTATAATAATAACTGGAACATCCATGATCTATAATAATAACTGGAACATCCATGGATCTATAATAATAACGAACATCAGTAAAAAGGAGTTGAACACAGGAGATGCTTGAAACTGCCCTTTTTGAAGTCTTGAAAAGCAACAGACTGCTACTAATCAGATTTGAGTTTAATGTATTCAATTAGATGTATAAGTACTGCTGACAAATATGTACTTGTGTAAATATAATACATAATAAAACCAACAAGTTTGATTTTATTTATTTCCAGGTTCTTGTCTATGAAGCGCACATTGTAGAAGAGACTGCTGTGTCAGAGCCAGACTGCTGTTGCTCCTCCTGCTGCTGCTGCTGATGCTCCTCCTCCTGCTGCGTCCCGTCTTCAGAGATGCAGAGCCCACTGTTCTAACTCTTCATGATTGATGATTAAATAAAACATGAAAACATGTTTGTTGGAGTTCATATTGTAAATTTGCATTGTGAAGCAGGAGGTGATGGAGGTGAATCTTTAGAAACGATGGCGAGTGATTTTGTTGCTGTCGGAGAAAGTCAGAGTTCCGTTTCACAAACGGAACTCAAAATCAAATTAAAACATGGACACCACAAAAAAAAAAAACAGAAATCCTTCCTGTATTAAATATTAGAAGTACAAGCTTTCACAGCAGGAGAAACAAACGGTCTGAGGAGTAACAGAAGAATATTATAATGGAAATATACACAAATAAAACTTAGAAGCATGGCTAACCACTTTAAACCTGTTGGAACTGAGACTGTCATCTGCAAATGTCTTTTATTAATGACAAAAGAAACATCTGTATAATGTGCTTTTATTTCATCATTCTATACATATATTTATCAGACTACTGTATGAAAAGTGCTTCATAATAAGGATTATATATACAGTAAAAATATACTGAATTCCCAGTCTTAGTATGGGATTATAAATGATATACACCATCTATTTCATATTAATACAGATAACAAGTGTACTACACTGTATACTACAGCTGCTGTCTCCATGGACTTTTTTCATGAAATACGGGACTGTTTCCTCAGTGTAGCTTTAATATTTAATCTGTGGGTTTGTTTCTCCCTAGAGATGACATTACAGATTTTGCACGGGTAAGTATTAACGATTGTGAAAAGGTAAATAACGTACCTAAGCCACCAACCTCCTCACTAACCCTCCTCCATGTCACGGTAGTTATAGTCCGCAGGGCTAACGAGCATAGCTTGTCCTCCATAGCTGGTTTGTTGTCTTCCCCCTCGGTCCTGTCATGAAATGCGTCACTACGTCACTGTTGAAAAAAGTTCCTGATTGGTCAACGCTCGCTTCTTCTCCCAAAAAGTTCAGCAATGTTCAACTCTAGCGTTGGCCGCGTTGGAGGAGCGTCAAAACACTTGAAATCTCAAAACGCGCCACGCCAGAAGCGCGAAACGCTTCACAGACGCGCTGCTCGGGAGACGCGCCGCGGGTTCCCTTGACGCTCTTAGAAGCGCGTCCCTCATGTATTTTCAATGCAAACCCGACGCTTTGGACGTGTTTGGTCTGAACGCAGCATTAGATTATACTGTCTATAAGAATAAGAGAAGATGATTGAGTCAGTATTGTTTCAGGCTGGGCTGGGCAACCCTGATCATCATCACGCTTCTTCAACATGTTGCAGCCAAGTTCATGTTTATGAAGAGAGAGGCAGGAACCACAGACGTCCACAACTGGTATGACCATCACTGTTACTGGCTTCTGTGAGTGAATGAGTGAGACAATGTTTCTTGATTCGATGTGTTGAAACAGTGTTTATGTTTGTTTTAAATTGACACTAAAAGTTTCAATAACGGAAGTCTTGTTGCATTTCTCTTCCCATGTGTTTAGTGACTCCCTGTTTTTGCTAACGTACCTATTTTTCCTGGTGAACTGGGTGTTGGGTTTGCTGGTTTCCATGTGGAGGATTCTGATCTCTGCAGTGTTTAACCTAGTGCATTTGGGACGCACCGACATCAGCCTGCTGCACCGCTCTGCTGAGAGCTACGACCCGGGTACAGGAAAAATATAATATAGAAATGAGTTTAGATGTATCTGCACATGTCACATTTCTTTAATGAAGTGAATGTGATATTTGAGACATTTGATAGTGACCATTTGATAGTGGCTTTGACACTGGTTCATTCTGACCACGCCCACTCTGCCAGCAGCTTACCACTTCTATACGCAATTCCTGGTGGTGGAGGTGAGCCAGGCCCATCCGGTGATGAAGGCCTTCTGTGGGCTTCTGTTGGACCTCATGATAGAGGAAGGCCGAGCAGTGCACAAGATTCAGCAGGTGGAGGAAGGTCAGTGCTGCTTACACCCCCTGCGACCATTTCTTGCGGCTCGCCCTCACCGTTCAATTAAATTCAACTCTTATTTTTAGAGCATCTGACGTTCTGACATTAGACAGAGAGGGCCCATGGGTTACGACTAGATCAAGCGTGTGTCTGTGCTCATGTGTGAAGCCACTTTCACATTGTACAAAATCAAAACATTCAATCAAACTCAAGAAGTCTTTTGCCAGTGGCTTTACAGGGCAGCACATGTTGAAGTCCCCAACAAGAAGGATATGATCATACACCGGCCCATATTCAGACTGTAACTGCGAAAAGTTATTAAGGACGTTTTTGTTGTATTTCGGACGTCTATATATCACTGCACACAGCATTAGTGGTGCAAAACTAAATTTAAATAGTAGCATCTCAAAGCTGGGAAATGACACAAATAAAAAAAACAGTCAGTTGGCAGCAGTTCACAGAAAGCACTTGACTCACCAATAGTTAATAATAATAATAATAATTCATTTTATTTAAAAGCGCCTTTCAAAACACCCAAGGACACTGTACAGGACATTATAAAACCATTAAAAACAGGATCAACAGAATAAAACAGTAGTGCAATATGGGATGGTGGGTGCATGTGTGTTAGGCTGGGTAGGACAGTCTGAACAGATGGGTTTTGAGTCTGGATTTGAAGAGTGGAACAGTCAGGTCAGGGGGGAGAGAGTTCCAGAGCTGGGGGGCAGAGTGGCTGAAGGCTCTGTGTCCCACGGTGATGAGTCTGGCTGGGGGGACGGAGAGTGTGAGGTGGAGGAGGAGCGGAGTGTGCGGGCTGGAGTGGCAGGGTGGAGATAAGTACGGAGGGGCCAGGTTGTGAAGTGCTTTAAAGTGGTAAGGAGTATTTTGAAGTTAATGCATTGTTTGACAGGAAGTCAGTGGAGTTGTTGTAGTACGGGGGTGATGTGGTTAGCTGCAGAGTTTTGGAGGAGCTGCAGTTTCTGGAGGGATTTGTTGGGGAGGCCGAAGAGAACTGAGTAGCAGTAGTCAATCCTAGAGGTGATGAGGCTGTGGACGAGGATGGCGGTGGTGTGGGGGGTGAGAGACGAGAGATATTGCGCAGGTGGAAGTAGGCAGACCGAGTTATGTTATGTGTTATAGTTGCCCAAGTTACGCACATGGGAATTGGCTGGAGCAGGAGCCGGTGCATTTGCAGTGGGCGTAATTGCTGCGTATGCGTTATTACCGTAATAATCAAATGTAAAGAAGCTGTCAACACATGGTCAGAAATACAAAAGTATTTGGCAATCATATTTCAAACAGGTATTACTTGTATGTAGCCTCCAAACACTTGTAGCTTTAGCAAAAAACAGCAGGACATGTTTTGTTGCTGCGCGTGATGTAAACAACGTAATTGTTAGTTACCTAATTAACTTAAGTTCAACGAATGGTGCGTAGCCCCTTAGAAGGCTACGCTATGGGTAACTCCCAGCCTCCCGCCAGAGAGAACTCAATGCTCCAATCACGTGCCAGTCCCATCTATAAATAGCACTCTACAGCCCGTGCCAGCCACTTTGAACTCGCCAAAGCCAGGCTGGACTGATGGGCCCGTAGCTAAGGGGCTACGCACCATTCGTAGAACTTAAGTTATATTAGGTAACTAGCAATTCTACGTCATGGTGCTCCGCCCCTTAGAAGGCTACACTATGGGTAACCACGCGTTACCCAGAAATTTACTCCCATCAGGCCAGCGTAGAGTGATTGGAGCACTGCCCGAGATACCCCCAGCACCACCAAGGCAAGGGCCTCAGGGCAGGAAAAAGAAACTAACGCAATGTTGGAAGGCCGCTCCTGTCAAGGACGCCCGAGACACACTGACGAAACTTTAAACCAAGCATCACAGAACCGGGCCGCTCCTATCAAGGACGCCCCAGATTCTGTCAAGACCTCCCCTGTGAATCACTGCAGACGCATTCCCAGGACGCCTCTAAGAGCTCCCGAAGGGAAGGCCGGAAAAAGCAGGGCAGATCACAGTCCCAGAACGCCTCAACCGAGCGCTCCTAAGGACCACACGCTGCCCCTGATTAAAAGTCTTTAAGGCAATAGCCAACTCCTGGATGCCCCTAATGAGAGCATCCAGGGGGCAGCCCAGACCACACACGTGCAGACCGGAGGTCGCTTCTGCTAAGAGCATCTCACGGTTCCAATCAAATCCTAGCGCTGAGAACGGAGTGGACCACCGACCTCTCCGACACATCAAACAGATAAGACTGAGCGAAAGGGGAGGACGAAGCCCAGGATGCCGCCTGGCAAACGTCCTCCACTGCGGCCTCCTGGAGCAGAGCCGTGGAGGCTGCCACCCCCCGTGTGGAGTGCTGTGAATAAACTAGTCACATTTCAACAACATAATCTCTTGAATACATGTTGTCAGCCGCTGGTTCAAAACTACAGGTTATCTGGACATCAGCACAAACAGACAAGTTTTACAGACTACAATCTAGTCCGGGTCTCTGCTGGATGGAAAACAGCAGAAGAGTGACAAAGAATGAACCAAAAGCTCTGTCCTTATACCCTGATAATTTGAAACACATGTCCCAACATCCTTAGGTGAAGACAATAGCTTCTCTGTTCAGGGCAAACACATAGCCCCTCTCAAAGCAAGCCCGAGGCCACTCCAAACAGATGCTCTCTACGCTCTTCTTAATTTAACTTCCTGTGTTTCATGACTGGGGGGGATGGGAGAGAATGCTGCTGATGCGCCCATCACATCCCATCACACACATAGGTTAACTCAAAACTGTCTAAACTTTGAATATATTCTAATTCACTTTAATGAAAATCCAACAATTCTACTAACATTCCCTCCTTTTTTTCATTAAAAGAATTAATCACATTCAATGTTTAGTAAAACCAACTTAAAAATGGAACACAATGAAATTAATACAAACACAGTATTACATTTGAATCCAAGTTGCATCGACTCAACTTAAAGACCCCTCTTCACATGTGTCTTATAAAAATCACATTGGTTACAGAAACACACACAGAAAAGAACTCAAAAAAAAGTTTTTTAGAGATCATTTCATATTCATATGTAATTGCTCCCCCATAAACCATATCTCCCCCCTGTTTGAGACATTAAAAATGGCTCAATAACTGAACATAATTCCTAATTATTCATGTGCATGAAATGAAAAAGACACAAATACCCAATTTACTCATGTAAATTAATGTAGCATCACACTGTATAAACTAAACATTCATTTGAAATGTATTAACCTGGAATGTTTTCACCTGAAATGTATTAACTTGAAATGTTTCCACCTGAAATGTATTAACTTGAAATGTTTTAACCTGAAATGTGTCAACTTTGGTTAGCAAATTACACCCCACACCAAAAAGCCTATTGTCCAGTAACGCCTGTTGTAGAAACGCCTCCACACCCCAATGTCTTCTGCAGCCAGCAACGTCCAGCACCATCCTGCACAGCCCCATCATGTCCAGAAGCCTCTTTTCCTGTTCACACACTTTAGAACCGACAGCAAAAACTGGAAACCTCCAGTCCTCAGATCTTTGCACAAAGGTGATGTCTTCGGTCAACCCAGTCTTTCAGATGTTTTGGAAATCTGCAAAATGTCCCAAACACACACACAGAGTCAAGTTGTTGATTTGAGTCTGACCTCTGGATGACCCTTTGCATCATTGCTTCTGTCGTTGCAGCATTTAGCCCTGGTTTGGCCTGCTGGTTTGGCTTGGTTTGGCTTGGTTTGGCCTGCTTTGGCCTGCTGATTTGCTGGTTGATGATTGGTGGGGGTGGGAGTGGGCGTCTCCTTCACAGGAATGAACTCTGAGCTTTTTGAGCATCAAAAGTGGTGTTTTAGGTGTTTCCCTCAAACAAAACACACAAAGTACACATTTGTTAATACATTTCAAACTTAGTTCAGTAAACCCAAAAGAAAACCTTAGCAGTTAATGAAAACTGTTGCTGAAAACAGTCATATTACTGTATATTTTCTTGTGTCAGAAATGAAAACATCACAATTAACTATTGAAATAATGTATAACTAGTTATATTCAGAATCAAACAGATTTGCATTTCTTTGATGAAACCATTAAACATGCTACAGTAACTTCCCTTACTGTTGAATTTAAACCTTTCAAATGAAACTAAACATATTTATTATTCAAATCTGAAAAATTAAACTGCTTATTTTCAGAGTGTTTCCCACTTATCTGATTGTTTGAGTCAGCATCAGTCAGAGAGGACTTCTTAGGCGTCTGATTCGTCGTTCCCATCCACAGCACCTCTGCCGATGCTTCTCCCCCTCCTCCTGCCTCTTAGACCTGTCTCTCTGGTTGGAGTGAGGTGAAGCATGTGACCGATGCTGTGCCGGGAACAACCAAACACTGTCCCCAGACGTCCCTCTCCCAGCTGAGACAGAAACAAACTCAGAAACAGAACAAAATATTAGTTGACAATTCTGTTGAATCTTACACATAAAGACAGTTACTCACAAAACAAACAAAAACTCCAAATCAAACCCAAAAATAAACATAAAAGTCTACTTGTGTGCACAAAATACCATCTTTTGTGATCATAAGCAAACAAAAATCAAAAATCTGAGCTAACTTTGAGTCTTATTTATCATCAATCTAATTCAGTCTCAGCCTAATCCTTTTGAGCTTGTACCAAATGTAGTAACTTTAAAATTGTCCAATCACAAAAATTTCACAGCTCAAGTCAATTCAAATCTATCTATGATTCTCTAATTTCATTACCAAATGTTTTCACCAGTAAAATGTTTATCACTGGTTCCACCCCTTTTTAATTATTTTTTTTTTAATGTAGCTAGCATTAACAAAAGTAGTTAAACTATAAAAAACATACTCCACCCAACTAGAGTTGAGCAGACGGGAGGGACAGAATTGGGAGCAAGGGAGAAGGGATGAGGGGAAGAGGGGGAACAGGGAGGGGGGGAAGAGGGGAAAAGGCAGAAGGGGACACAAAGGATGCACCTCAAACGTGC